CTCCTCCCCTGCCCCGCCAACTAACACCCCACCTATCTCATACACTTTCTGCTCCCCAGGGGAGGGTGAGGCCTTCCATAGGGGGTTTTCAGGGTCTGTCATAGCCTTTGGGATAGGTGAGCCTAGGCCTACCCCCTTGTGTCTAGGCTCAGAGAGTATCCCGCTATGTGGGATGGGCTCCCAAAGTCCATTCCTATGCTAGGGATAAGTACTGATCTACTACAAAAGGCCCCATAGATTTCCCAGGTCTCACTGACACCCATGCTCATGGGGCCTGGATCAGTCCCATGCTGGTTTCCCAGCTATCAGTCTGGGAACCAAGAGTTCTGCCTTGTTCAGGTCAGCTGTTTCTGTGGGTTTCACCAGTAAACATGGCTTCTTTTTATCCTTTGGTATTAGGTGCCCTCTTCAGACAAGGCTTCCTCAGAATGAAAGCTTCTGGTTGCTTTTTCATTGTTTGCTTTTATTTTCATTACCTTTCAAAAGTGATTTATTTTGTGTGTATGAGTGCTTTGATTTGTGTGTATATACATGTGCACCATGTATGTGACTGGTGTCCATGGTGAGAAGAGGAAGGTTCAAGATAATCTGAAATTACAGATGTCTCAATGTAGGTTCTGGGAATTAAACCAGGGTCCTCCACAAGAGCAGCCAGTGCTTGCAACACCCCAGCTGTTACACCAGCCCTGCTTTTCATCTTCTTCATGACACAAATCCTATTTTAAATGATTAAATTAGTTTACATGCCTATGGTTGGTGTCCAGGACTAAGATACATGTTTGATAAGGGGCCGGGATTCCAATTGCCTTCTTCACCTCTGGGATGCAGTCAATGGTTAGAAGAGAGCTAGTTACAAAGTAGGTACTGACAATGCTTTTTGAAGTGTTGGATGCAGGTGTATTCTGAAGACACAGTAATACAACTGGAGGGCAGAAAATTGGAAAAAAAATGAGACTGTGTGAGTCTACAGCCAGGTCCCACTGCTCAGAAACTTCTTAATAACTGAAGAAACTATATTTAAATCTCTTCCAATAGAGTATCAGAATCTTTAAATGAATGTTCAAATACAGTGTATCAGTCTATCTCTGGAACTCTCAGAGTTTTGTCCTAGCTTTGCCTTTTAGCATGACAAGCCACTCAATGGACAATGGCTGAAGTGACTATAAAGTGGGGGACATCAGAAATGTTAGGCAGTGGGACTGAATACCTAAGCAGCAAGCCATTGCGAATGACCATGGAAGGCTGGGGCAGAGGTACATACTCCAACATAGCAGAGGCTCCCAGGAGTGGTTTCCTGGCTCTGAAGAACTAGAGATAACGGGAAGCAGGAAACTCAGGGGAGATGAAGCACTGTGTATACGCCACACTGGGCATGCTGTGTTTGCTGGACAGTAAAGCGGCCTTCAGCTATTAAAGTACAATCCAGGGAATGTCAATATTTGGAGAAAGAGGAACTTCTTACAGAAAAGAAGACTTTCATCCAGTGACAAAGACATTGGCCTTCTTCATTGTGAAGGTGTTTCTTCATCCTGTCCTGTACATGGGGACACAAACCTTACTCTTATGAGTTAGCTAATCTATTACCCAGCTCTATTAAGTTTCCTGTACAAAACTGGGAGACATTTTTGTATGTCACAGATGGATGTGCCTTCAAGGGCCTTATGCACTTGCAGACATTGAACTCAGAAAGTTCTGAGCTTCAAACAAGGTACAAAGAGTCACACTTGTGTTTCTCAGGAACTCAACAAGTCCTTCAAGTGTGAGGCAGTGGGATTTTCACCCCAGGTGTGCACCCAAGAAGTGTGTTTAGAGGACCCTTAGCATCTTCTGAATGCATGGTGCCACATTATACCACGCAATAGCATGAACATATGACTTGAAAGTGTGGTACTGCATTATACCATGCAGTAGAATGAAGATCTGAATTCTCCAGGCTGGAAATGGGAAAAGAATAATTTTAGGCACTCCTGTTATCCTGTTTAAACACACTGAAGAGCCTTTTTGGCAGGAGGCCTATGTTTAACCAGAGTTACTGAATATAGAATAATCATGGGTGGGGAGTACATTTTCCTTGAATATATTTTCTTGAGATAAATGTGGATTCCAGCCATGAAGGAGAATTGTGTAGACACAAGAAGCCTGCCTGTGGAGGTTAAGAAAGCACTGACAAATGGAAACCCCCTCCATCCCAGTCACTAAATTCTCCCTTCCTTGCCTTCTGCATGTCTCTTGGTTCTCATCTAACATCACCTCCAAGGGAACCACCGGTACCCAACCCCTTTCATTGCTCCATTCTGAACAGAAACTTTTATCACATGTCAGGGCCTCATGTCTGGGCTATTTGGCTGGAGAAGGATGAGAAAGTACTGAACTCTTGTTTAAGAACTGTTCATCTTTACATGGAAGGCATTTGTACTTGCAACATTTCGGTGGGTCCTTTCCCTGCCAATGTAGGAAAACACAGCAGGACCGGATACCCACCCCAGTAGCATCCTACATATGGAGCTAATTCCCCAGTGTTGGGCCATCTGCCAGGAAAGAAATCTGGAGAGCACTTTAAGCACCAGGTCAGGGGATCAGTTGGCAATGGATTGGCATTGTTCCTAAGAGGTGTTGTATTCATTTCTTCTGGTTACAATAACAAGTGACTACTGATAAGGTGGTTTTAACAGCTGACATTTCTTCTTTCACAGTTAGCAGGGCCATTGTCCCAGTCAGGTGTTAGTAGATGAGTCCTTCTTAGAACTCCAATGGAGGACCTTCCAAGTGTCTCACCTGCTTCTAGGGATTGTTAATTCCTGGTACTCTCTGACTCGTGGACTAAAGTTCTGACCTTTGCCTCCATTGCCACATGCCTTTTCATCACTCATTCTCCTCTGTCCCTCTCTCTGTCCCTCTGTCTGCTGGCTCTGAAGATCCCAGACATTATGTTAGGTCCCACTCGACTCTACCAAGGTTTCATCTTAGACAATCATGACTTTAGAGGCACTTTCCAAAGAAGGCTCTGAACGGCCTCTAATTCTGAGGGGAAATTTTTTGCCTGCATTTTTATTTACTTCATCCTCCCAACCACTGGGCACTTCAGCTTTATAAACTACCTGCATAATCATTTTGGGATGTTCTTGAAGTATCTTTCCTCCTAGTAGGTCTCAGTCTGGAAAGACAGAAAAACAAATGGACACCTGTTACAGACAGAGCATAGTATTGTGCTTGGCTATATATCTGCCCAGCCCCATCATCAGTGGTTATCCTGATTATTGTTTATTGTCAACTCAATGTCAGAAGCATCTCTACACAGGTGGTCCTGGGATGTGTACCAAATCTATCTGAACATGAGCCTATGGAGCCAGCCAGTAAGTGGTATTCTTCTTCTGCCATGGCATCTGCTGTAGCTCTCTTTTGAGTTCCTGCCCTGACTTCCCTCAATGATGGCCGTGTAAACCAGTAAGCCCTGTCCTTCTCAAGTGGCTTCTGTTCAGTGTTTTATCACAGAGACAGAAAAACCTAGCTAAAGTAGTGCTGTATATGTTTGTGTGCACATGTGTGTAAACATGTGAAGACCAGAAGTCGCGGCAGGTGCCTTTCTCTATTCTTTTCCAGCTTACTTTCTGAGACAAGGTGTCTCACTGAGTTTGAGACTCACCAATTCAGCTGGAATGGCTGGCCACTGAGCCAGGGATCTACCGGTCTCTGCATCCCTCCCCCTCCAGCACTGAAGTTACAGATGTGCACCATCTTACATGGTTTCTGGGAATGCAAACTCAAGCCTTCATGCTTGCACAGAAAGCGCCTTGCCCACTTAGTCATCCCCCACATCCTTTACCATCTTTTGGGATGCTTTGGGTACTGTAGTCACCATGAACCCTATTTTGTAGATGAAGATACTGAGGCTGAAAGGCTGAGACATTTTCTCCAAGTAAGGGGGTTTATTGAGTGCACAGAGTCAGGACCCAAAGCCGTTATACTCTTCTGCTTACCACAGGGTAGTGCAGATGCCCCAACCCACTGGCTATCTGACTATGTTAACACTTGGTCCATGGTTCGAAGCTGTTCCAACTTTTATTTTAGCCCATCCTGTTTTGAAGACACAGCTAGCCCTGGCATGAATATACTTCATTTATTTTAGTCAAGTCAGTCAAATGTTCATGGAACTAGCTCTCAAGCCTCCCAGACCCCAAACTACTCCCAGAGCCCAGGGCCCCCATCACCTCCCATTGCCATGTAAACAGCAGGAAGCAACCCACGTCTGGTCTCTTTCCTCTGCAGTCTGTCTTCCTGATCAGGACTAAAGAGTGTTGACTGATGTCCATCTTTATCTAATTTTATCTTCTCTTGGGTCACTGGAATAATAATATAATCTTGCTCTTGTTGCAGTGATTGTGTGTTCTGTGTAATTGGCAAGAATTTGGGGAACTGTGGATGGAGTCTAACTGCCTGATGTGATCCTCAAATGTTCCCAAACATTTGCACAATTGTTTACAACTAAATAAACCCCAAGTTTCACTTATTTATAAGTGAACTTATTTTTAACTTCTTTTGTGTTGTCAGGGAAATGATCACCATGCATGTTACTGGTTCATTTACCCTGAGCTCCTAAAAATATTGCCCTCAGGAAGGATGGCAGTTTGTTTGCCATGTCAACAATATTTTATTTTGGTTTCCTTTTAGAGAAAATTCTACATATAGCCAATTTTAAAACCAATTAGAGTGCCCCAAATATGTTTGCAAGTTTCAGGGCTCTGTTTCTCTCCAAATCCTCTCAGGATATAAATGGCATTCTATTGAGAGATGCTAATGGAGATGAAGTGTAGAGTCCCATGAGGAGATGTTTCAGAAATTAGAAAAATATAGTGAAATTTAGAGAAACTCAGAATGTCTACTAAAATATTCAGTTTTTGAGGATTGACATTTAAATCACATCTGGATTGTATATAATTTTATTGATGTTTTATTCACACCATATTACATAAATTTATAGATTTTTTTAAATGTCCCCAACTAATGGCATTGATGGGCTATTTATTAGTTTATTTGACCAGGACTCTGAGTCTGGAAGAAGCTAGCTATAACTATCTTCTTTGGTAAATAGGAAAATGACCACAGAAAGGGCATACAACAACTTCCTCTTAACTACACTAAAGATATCAATCATATCTAGAAGATAGATGTCCTTAGTCCTTAGGAAAAGAAGTCCTATGACACCCATACATTGGCTGGCAGATTGGGCAAAAGGGAGAGAGAAACACTTTGACTTATAAGATTCATCAAGATAAAGTTGTCAGTACAAATATTTATTAATTAACTGAACTTCTTAGCACAATAAACTATAAAGCCTTCATTGACATCTTGGTGACTTGAAACAAATAAACCCAGTAGGCTCTAAAGTGCAGTCCCCATGTATTTTCTTCCCTTGGTTTTATTTCTCAGGAGGGCCAAGGCTATCCTCCTGAAATTCAAGACTATCCTCCGGACTCAGCCTCCCAAATGATGGGATTACAGGCCGGAACCACCCGGACTGTCTTCAACTGCTGTGGAATTTACAGGATGGCAAGAACTCAGGATCAGTGCTTGCTTGTGGCTAGATGACAACTGTCAGGATCTATAGAGTGACTTCCTCAATGCCCTATCCATGCGGGTGTTTTTCTGAGTCCTTTGTCATAAGTAGAGAAGCTAGAGCATTCCATGAGAGCAGACTACACCTGGATACATGGATATCTTCACTGCAGGGTCATTCAAGTTTAGTGTCCCTTTGTGTTTATCAGGCTATTGTCTCTGGAAGCCTGGAATGTGTGTCAGAGATGAAGCTTCCTGTGTCCCTCTTTCTGCCTCCTCTGCTGTCTGTGAGTTGGCCTAGAGACTCCTGAATAAGTTGGAGGCCTGCAGTTTTCCCTGCTGCTATCCCTGGGTTATTTATGAGGAGTGCTGTAGACCTATTGGTAGAAGGAGGGGACAGCTTGATAGTCCTGGATCAGTTCTAGGTTTTAATGAGGCCAAGTCGGGTATTTCCCTTTCCAGATCACTTAGGCCCCTGGTAAAACCCCATGAGTCAGACTCTGCAGTACTGGTTCTTTGAGGTTAGGTCTTGGCAAGGAGAACCCAGAGAATTCAGACATATTTCAAATCGGCAATGTCCCTACCTCAGTGGGAAAGCAATAGTGTGCTTTTCCTTCTTTCTCACAGTAGAAACATGGTAATGGTAAAACTCAGGAAAGTTCCTGAGATTGGACCCTCTAAAGTGTATAATTCTCACACTTGAGCAAACAGAACCAACAGCGATTTGTCAGTGGTTGTTCGTGTTACTGGTTTCTGTTCCCACACTTCTGCTTTTGGTGAACTGAAGTTCCCTGCATTCATTGGCTTGTCCCTCTTGCTTGGGGGCAACAGTCTGTGACCTAAATTCTCTGAGGAATCTAAGAAGAGCTGTTGATTTTCAGTTTGTTCCCTTTTTGTTGTCATTCTTATTTTGTTGTGTTATGTAGATGGGAGTCAGGAGGAGCTCCTGGGATCTCAATTTTTGCGCACTATGTTTCTTTTATGTATGGAGAACATGGTCTCACTGTGGAGTCCCTGGTGGCTTCAAACTCACTGTCATCATGCCTCAGTCTCCCTTGTTGGGATTCCAGGTGTATGCCACCATTCTCAGGGACAGTGGTTTTCCCCTGGATTTTTCTGAACTTGGAATCTTCCCAGATGGTAGTTATGAATCAGAAATCTGGAACAAACAACCAGATGACTCACAGGCTCTGTACTAGACATTGGGACCACTTCTCTCTGAGGTGTTCTGATTCCAAACCAAGGGCTGTACTGTCCTTTTAGAGACCTTGCAGAGCAAAAGAAACGCTGGTACAGAATATTCTTTCAGGCTCACCACAACATACATAGGCCAGTTGTTTGGGACTGGCTCCTGGCACAGATCATTCTGTTTTGTACATATTTGAACACCAAATGCATTTGTTTCACATTCTCAAGTGCAGACGTTCATAGCTCTCAGGCTGAGTGAAGTTGAGAAGAGCTTGACACCCAAGGGACAGGAAGAGGATACTGGGTTTTAGGTAAAGCAGTTAAGAGGAAGAATCTCGCAAGCCCGACTTCACTGACAGACAACAGGCTTTTTCAGAAGAGGTGGGAATGGGGCAGAGGGCAGAGCAAGAGGCCTTTTAATCTCCTTCCTTCTTAGTTATGGGTGTAAAAGACTAGGAGTGGGCCTAGCTCTTCTCAAACACTCACAGAGATCTTGAAGAAATGCAGATTCTGTTTGAGGAGTTCTTGAACTGGGCCCCAAATTCTACATTTTTAACAATCCCCATGGGGGGGGGGACGGGTGAGAGGGGCCATACCAGGGCTCAGGAGATGCTGAAAGGTCCAAGGGGCTCGGTTGATTCCCTCTGTGCTCACTTGGAGAACACAGCAGTAGCTACTGGCTTTGCTTCCTGAACACATCACGTGTATTCTTAGTTTAACACAGTCCCTTCTGGAAGAGTAAATGGACTCTGTATTTTGGAGGCCTCGACTTTCTTTGAGCCTCTCTCAAACCAGCCCTTCCCTAGGGTTCCTCCACCACTCGAGGTCTCTGTGGCATGGCTCTTGTGGACTTCTATACCCTTTTTTGCAGGTGTTGAATACCACATCTTGTTATTCTTCCCCACTTCCCTGGGCTCAGATGGACCTGGATCACAAGGAGACTGTGTAGTGTAGTGGAAACAATCTAGACATGAGTTTAAACCCCAGCCCCATCACTCAGCAGCTGTTGAATCCTATACAAACGGCTGCTCCTTGAGTGGTAGCGGTGGTGATGGGGGCACGGGATGTTTATACCCCTCAGGACTGTTGAGAGAAATGAAGAAAATAAAGTTAGCTAAGTGTTACATCAAGTTCTGACATAAAGTCAACACTCCATAAATTTAAACCCTCTCCCCTCTAATCCGGTTTTTCTCTGTCCTTATTAGGACTTAACCGTATGTTCTCCTCTCTACACTCTTTCCTTGAGAAATACCATTTCAAATGCAACATTCTTGGGAGGTTTTGTTCTGTTTCCCATAGTCCACTGTAAGTTGGAAGCATCTAATACACCCACCCTACCAAGTAGCATAGCTTAATAATGGCATCCACTGCAAACCATTGAGTTTTGCCTTTCATGATCACACATCTGGCTGACAGCTGCAGCTCTGTGCTACCTATCATCATGAGAGATGCTAGGTACCACATATTGCTAGACTGTGAACAGATCACACTACAGTGTATGGCCTCCTCTCATGTCATGTTTTTACATCATTGTTAAACTAAGAGAGAAACGTGAATTGACCCATAACATATCTGAGACCATCTGTACACAAGAAGGATTTGGCAGAAGCTGGGAGAGGGGAACTTCTCATGGTATTGTTGGGTTTTTTGTTTGTTTGTTTTGTATCAGATTTTTGCACATGGACCATTTAAATTCAATAGAAATGTGCAGCTAAAATTGCCCTTGGAGGCTGGCTGTGTAGCTCAGTGAGAGAGGACATAATAGGCTCTCGAGAGGCACCAGGTTCAATCCTCAGCACCCTCTACCCCCACTGCAGACTATCTTGAAACAATACACTTTGTCAGGATGAACTCAAGTGCTGTATTTACTGGCATCTTTGATGACGATTGTGCATTGTTCTCAGGAAAACCCAGTGAGTTTTCTTTTCTTTAGATAAGATTTCTAATCCAAACTGCACTGTCAGCTGGCCATGACAACACACACCTATAAACCCTACACTCCAGAGAAGGCAGAATAGCAAGTTGTTAGGAGTCATCTGCTTTGTCACAGCAGATGAGATGACACTCAAAACTTGAGGCAGGAGAGGGGTCTAGAAGGACCAAACAGCCTTTCCTGCAGGTTATCTCTCCTAAGGCCTCCAGTGAGTATCTATAAAAGAAAAACAACTTGCTGTGCTTTGGAAATAAGCAAGGGAAGGTCTGGATTACAGGGGATTTCACACATTGTCAAGCCCCGTGAAAACACCACATGTGCCATGAGAATCTGAAAGACTCCAGGAGACTCTTGGCTGAAATGTAACATGTGTGGCTAGAAGGAGTTGCTGCTGGGATGGATGAGGCCCGATTAAACAGTGGCAGCGTCCCATCACCCTGCTTCTGAAGAGCAGCAGCTGTTGGCTGACAGACAGACACCTTTCCTTCCCGCACATGCTCAAGTGAGAAGTCGAAAGAGCCTCTGGGCAGGACTATTTTGGGCTCCCAGTGACCTGTGTTGCTATGACATCTGAGATTAGTGGTTAGGCTAGTGCCGGATGTCGCCCAAGCAGCTGATCAAGAAACAACCTCTGAAAGTTCGTTTCACTTCTCGGAAATCATCTGTGCCTCACAGCTGAGGGAAAAGTGGTCGGGCTGCTTTGTTTTGGGGGTTTCCCCACCCCCACCCCAAGTGAACTAAAGGGATCAATGGCCTTTCGTCACCGTGTTTAATGATTTCTCTTAGAGTTCCTACAAGTGCCACTTCTACACGTCTTCCCAAAGTTTATATTGATCATGTTAGCTGCTTGTAAACCACCAGAATAACACACACTTGTTGAAGCATAAAATGTCAAAATGAAATGAATTAGTGAAAAAGTGTACCCCAGTCAGAGTGGGATGTTGATCATCCAAGACACTGGCAGGCTGGCAGCTAAACACAGTCTATGGAGTACTAAATAACAGGACTACATCTAAGAGTGAATGGCAACAGGATGATTGGTAGACTTTGGGGAGCCCCTTTTGAGGGTCTTACCCTGCCTGGGGAGCAGAGGGGGATGGATAGGGGGAGGTGGGATGTTGAGGGGAGGGGAAGGAGAGCGAGAAGGGATTGACATGTGAAGCAAGCTTGTTCCTAATTTGAACTAATAAAAGAATAAAATAAAAAATAATAAATAGGGTGAATGGCAATTCATATTCTATAGTCAGGACTACCCAGTGGCTGCCTCTGCCATTTTGTGATCCTGGGAAAAGTTACATAGATTTTCTGTGCTTCAGTTTCTTCTTCAATAATATGTGGGTCAATAATATGATACATCTGCAGGGCAGTGGTGGCCCATGCCTTTAATCCCAGGCAGAGAAAGGTAGATCTCAGTTTGAGGCCAGCCTGGTCTACAAAGAGAGTTTCAGGACAGACAGGGTTACATAGGGAAACCCTGTCTTGAAAAACAAAATGGATAATAAACAACAACGATTATAGTATAGTATAGTACATACTCTAGTGTGTTTCTTACTGATGAATATCAGCTGTCAATGTTGCTGCCATGATCATTGCTGTTTCGACATTAAAGACCAGTACATAAGAACTCAGGAAATTATTAGCCAAGGCCAAATTGGCAAAAGAATATCAGGGAGCTTGGTGGCTGTGTCCAGAGTCAGGATTTCCTACTTAGGGGGAAGGTGGTAGGAGAAGTCACCAGAAAGAAGAGCCACCAAGAAAGGACATCATTGTTGACTTGAGAAGAGAGTATTTCAAAAATGAGAAGAGCCCCATTTCCTCGGCTGGAGCACTTTTGGAGCTATACCCCATTTATTTGTGAGACTTGTTGCTAAGCAACAAGCTAACTAGGTCATACCAAGGCGTTAGCAGGTCTGGCTTCCTTACTGGATTATCTGGGGGAAGGATCTGTTTCCAAGTTCAGGCAACTTGTCCAGATTCAGTTCCTGGTAGCTATGTTGCTGAGGCTCCTGCTGCCTTTCAGTCTGTAAGTTAAGAGTGGATCACAGCTCACATCTGCTTACCTACCCCCCCCAATGTCTTCTATGTGGTTCACCCCAACATCAAGTGTGTTGGGTCCCTGTGATGGCTCTTCTTGGTTGTTAAATTGACTGTATCTTGAATGAACTACAGTCCAGAAATGGAGGGCACACTTGAGATCCCAGTCCTTGAAGCAGGAAGACAGGTCTTTAATCCAGATCTTGAGATGGGAAGGCATATCTTTCAACTGGGCCACACCTTCTGCTGGAAGCCTATATAAGGACAATGGAAGGAGGAAGAGTTTATTCACTCCTCACCTGCTTGCCATTACCTTGTCAGCACATCCATTCCTTCACTGGTATTGAGCCTACTTCTTCAGGGCTCCAGCATATACAGAAGACCAGCTGCGACACGCAGCCTCCTGGGGTGAATAACTACTAGGTTCCTGGACTTTCCATTCACAGCAGGCCATTGTTGCACTGTAGCCTGTAAGTCATTCCAATTCATATATATAATTTCTTTACATATATATATATATATGTGTGTGTGTGTGTGTGTGTGTGTGTGTGTGTGTGTGTGTGTGTGAATTTACACACACACATATAGAGACAGACAGAGAGATATCCATTCTATAACTTCTAGGACTCTAGAGAATCCTGATTAATACAGTCCCTGTTATAATAAGAATCTTTCTGACTGTTCCAGAACAAAAAGTTTCATTGCTGGGACTTCAGCTAGAAAGTCTCTCATGTGTTATGTATGTGCATGCACATGTGTGGAGGCCCAAGGCCAATCCTGTGTGTCATTCCTCAGTTGATATCCACCTTGTTTTCTTTGAGACAGGGTCTTTCCCTGACCTGGACCTCATCAATATTTGCCTATCTCTGCGTCTGCAGTTCCAGGGTTATAAGCGTGGTCGACCATGACACCCCAACCCTTAACATAGGTTCTCAATTATCTCAGGTCCTTGTACTTTCATGGTAACAACTGAGCTATCTCCCAGCCCCTGGCCTTTGACTCAAAGGATTCATATGGTTGTATTTCATTCACCAACACATTCCAAACACTGTAACTTAAGGTTTATGACTCCAGTTAGTCTTGCAATGTCTCAGACTCTAGGGATCAGGATCTGGGGCCTTTGTGAAGGATTTGTTGTCCTTGCCATGCCTACCCTGTGAATGACAGTACCATCAAGTTGGTTCCCTGGGTACAGGTAGCTCTCCCAAGGGAAATCAAAATAGCATTACTAAAAGAAGAGTGAGTGGGTGCTGCAAGATGAAAGCAACAACTGTCTCCTGAATCCTTGTACATTGCAACAAGAGCTGACACGCAGAGCCAAGCAGATTTTTGACTGGCATGTATTGGAGTAGTGAGGCTCACAACCTGCAAATTTAAAAATATGAACAGATGAAAGAGAAAAAAAATGATGGTTTTAATCTCCCCGAGGTCGTTCCAACAGGAAGTGTGAAAACTTGAGTCTCCAATGAATCACTGACCAATGCAGGCAGTCACACTACCAAAGGTTACATAAAAGCTTGTGTTTTATGGGTTCATAATATAGTACCTTGGGGGTGTAGAAAGTTTCTGAGAAACTTGTGAAATATGATCCTCAGATCTGTTGCTATAGCTTGATTATGATATGCCCACCAAAGTTGATGAAGGTGACAGTTAGAAGTGGGGGTCTCTGGGAGGTGAATAGGTTGTGAGGCTCCTCTTCATGGAAGGGTGAAAGTTTGACCTGAGGGACTTTCAGGAATAGACTCACTCTTCTCTTTCTGCTGTGTGAAGATGTAGGTTTCTTCCCACTCTCGGATGCAACCTCAAGGCACCACTTTGGAAGTGAGAAGCAGACTTCACAAAATAACTGAACCTATCAATCTTGACCTTAGACTTCTCGGATTGGAGATTGCTGAGCAGTTAAGAAAGAGCACTGCTCTTAGACGGGACCCAAGTTCAGTTCCCAGCACCAACATTGTAGAGATCAAAACCACCTGGAATTCCATCCCCCAGGAATTTGATGCTCTCTTCTGGCCTCCTCAGGCACTGCACACATGTGCACAAACCCATACTCAAATACACACACACACACACACACACACACACACACACACACACACACACACACTATAAAAAACAAAACGAGATTTTAGACATTGCAACCTCCACAATTATGAGGAATAAATTTCTATTCTTTATAAATTATCCAGGCTCAGATATTTTGTTATAGCACAAAACAACTAGGATCTCTACCCCCAGTACACTAACTCAGAAGGTCTGGGCAAAGGTCAGTCAATCAACCTTCAGTACAATGGCAGTGCCATAGCATGCATACAGTATGTAGTTTTGATGAATGAATGACAGAATTTACTAAACATGCCCAGTGGATCTAATCTAGAAATCTGAACACCAACCCCCTGGGGAAAATGGCAACCATCTGTTTGAAAAATGAGTAGAGATCCACTCAATAAGGGGCTTTGGTGCTTTACTTCAAAGTATTCTGTAACAGAAGTCAACATGCCACTTTGTTGTTGATGATATCTGGTTTTTTGTTGTTGTTGTTGTTGTTTTGGTTTTGGGGATTTTGTTTTTTGTTTTTATAAAGAAACTTGTTTCAGTCTTTAAAAAAAAATAAGTCCTGGAACCAGAAAGGAAATAAGAGACATAACCCAGGAATTTTAATCAGAGTGAGGTCATAGGAAGCGGTTGTTTGTCTGCATCTTTTTCTTCCTTTCTTTCTCTCTTGTTTTAAGCAGAAACAGACCAGTTGATCTTGCACCTGTGTTTCTATGTCTGTCAGTTATATGGGTCAAAGAGAGGAGAGCAGCCCCTTGCACTGGAGAAAGACATTGCCCTGTCTCTGGGACACACAGAACCTTCTTATTGCCAGACATTCTCACTCTAGTAGCAACTGGTAGCAGATTCCACACCATTTGGGCAGCATACCAGACAGACAAAATTACCCAGAGCCATCCAACCACACAGCCAGCCCTCCCCTTCACACATCCACCACCCCCCAGGCCCAGACACACAGAATGCCTTCCTTCCTCTTCATGTAAAAGTTCTGCCTTCCCGAGAAGTGGGGGAAAGACTCTGGACTCGTACGTCTTCAGTTGAGGTCTTCCCTGTAGTTTCGTAGGCTGGGTTTAAGGACCAATTGCACAAATTTCCTGTGCCCCTGTGTACGCACATGTGAACTGAAGATGCTAGCAACTCCTACTTTTTGGAGTTCCTGGGAGTGTTCCATGAGATAATCCATTTCAAGAAGGGTGTTTGTTACACATGGTGCTACAAATTGGGTAAACTGTCCAGCTCCTGCATCTGGCATATCTACCGCTCTGATTTTCTTACATGGGCATGCTGCAGACAGAAGCCCTGGCTTGAGAACATTTCTGTATCACATCCCTTCATGGGCTTCAGTCTTCCCTCCATCCATGTGTGATTGTAAATGGCTGTAATGGCCCCTCAGCCTTGCTCATTCGTCATGGACCTGTGTCATAATAGACATATGGCCATAATTCCAACAGAGATTAACACACAAGCTCCTTCCAAATCCTGACACAGAGTGTCACATTGCAAATGTCAATCATCTTTGTCCCTTGATGTCCAGGTGGGTTCTATTCTCTGTGATGTGAAGAAACTGAAGGTGTGAACAACATGATTCAAAAAGCACTTCCATAGACTAGAGAGATGGCCTAGCAATGAAGAGCATTGGTTCCACAGGTCTGAGAACCAGAGTCAGATCCCATCACCCACCTTGAAACCAGCCACAGTCCCACACAAGTCTGTAACCCTGGCACTGAGGGACACAGAGACCGGAGCATCCCTGGGGCTTGTTGGTTGCCAGTCTAGCCAAAGAATGGGGTTCTCCAGGCTCTGCAAGGAGGCCTTGACTGAAAGAAACACCGAGGGGGGGTGATAGAAGAGGACAGCTAATGCTCTTCTCTGACCTCCTTCTCAGCACACAGGGTACATGCGCCTGCACACATGTGTGCAATACACCTTCCACACATGAGTTTCTTTTCTGAATATTTACAGTGTTCGCATTCTAATTTCAAAGCCCTTTATTTGCAGGTGAGGAATAACCAAATGCATTAGGTATCCTACCCAAGTTCTCACTGTACTCAAAGCACTGGCATGGGATTGAACTAACAATCTCTTAGTCCAGAGCTAATGCTGTTTTCATTAAATTGAGATATGAGAGTCTGAACAAACATGCATTTATGAGCTTCAAATATCTATCAAATGTATGGTTTCTATTAAAATCCTGCACTCAGAAAGATCTCTGGAAGCTGAATCTCTGCCCATGTTCCTTTGTTAAAGTTTCATTGGCTTTTAAAAAGTAATATTTGACTCCAAATATCAAAATTTTGCAAATCACATTCAATAGCATAACTTAATACCACAGTCAATGTCTACTCATTTCTAGCCTTCATTTCAACAATAAACCATGTTCAAATTTACTAGGCAAGGTTTGAGTAGTTTCTTTTCATTTTTTATTTTTTTCAAGTGGCTTACTTGATTAATTAGGCATGAAAATGACTGAATATTGTAGCTTTGATTTGTGGACATAATAATATTTTAGTGGCATTGAATTATGTAATAATATGAGTACATAATACAATGTATTGCTAAAAACTAAAAGAAACACATCCATTTTTATAAAAAATCAACTTGCTATTATGTGAGTATAGAAGACACATACATTATATGAGGCTAATTTTTTTCTCTCATTTTTACCAAGATATTACATATATTAGTGGCTAAAATGAAATACACCAGCATTTTTCAGACAGTATGTTTTCAGGTTTGAAATTAAGTAATTCTGCATTCACAAATGCTAAGAAACAGACTAAGAAGCAGTGTAACTGCAACTTTCATTTGATTTCCTTGACTCCCTTTCTTAGGCTTGGGTTTTTTTTTTTAAGTTATTATTTTATCTTGTTGATTGTGTCCTTTGCCTTACAGAAGCTTCTCAGTTTCAGGAGGTCCCATTTGTTAATTGTCAATCTTAGTGTCTGTGCTACAGGTGTAATGTTCAGGATTCAGTCTCTAGTACCAATTCCTTCAAGGGTACCTCCCACTTTATCTTCTAAGATGTTCAGTGTGGCTGTATTTATGTTGAGGTCTTTGATCCATTTGGACTTAAGTTTTGTGTATGGCGATAGATATGGATCCATCTTCAGTCTTCTACATGCCAGCATCCAGTTATGCCAGCACCATTTGTTGAAGATGCTTTCTTTTTTCCATTGTATAATTTTAGCTTCTTTGTCAA